TTGTATCTTTTGATCTGTAAAGAATTATAACACGAATTATATATGAAATTTATAGTGCTCGACGAGATCTATCCGATAAGATCAATGTTGAATATTTTTTTGAACTTTAAATGCATTTAAACTTTACGGGCAGAAAATGAAGAAATGTGTTTTTCGTTTTTCTTTGAAAAATGGTTATCCGTTGTGTTCATGCTGATTATCCAACTGGTTTGGAGTGATTATCCATTCGGTTTGTACTTGTTATCCAATCAGATGTTTGACATTCACTCTTCAAAAAAAAAAAAAAAAGATGGATAACCACCTCTATTCTGCCCGTCGATATTAAGTCATTTTTAAGCCCGAAAAAATGTTCACTGTGGATTTCGTTGGATAGATCTCGACGAGTACTATAAATTTCATATATAATTCGTTCACAAATTCTTTACGGATTGGGAGATATGCTCGTCGAAAGATTAGAGCTAATCTTTTTTGGAAGAGAAGGAAAAAAAGTCACAGGGACTAAAATTGCAAAATATTGAAAGATTGATAAAAAGGTACAATAAAGACTACTCGTGCAAAAAATAGGAGGGGGACACGATGCCCCCGAGTATACTGGATAATTTGCCGAATTTTAACCCGAACTCTAAAATTTCTCCATGTATATAGATAATGATGACGAGGGAAGACCACGGTAACAACCCCCTAATAAAAATAATCCAAAAAAAAAGATTTAACCACGTATTTAGGGTTTCTTTATCATAATAATAATAATAATAATAATAATAATAATAATAATAATAATAATAATAATAATGACTATAGAAATTCATGGTAACCGCCCCTTTTCAAAAAAGAATATTGAAAAAAAAAAGATTTAAGCGCATATGTAGGGTTTCCTCATTAATTTATTTTTCTATTTTTAGTAAATACTTTCTCCTGTCCTTATAATTATGTATTTTGATTTTCCTTAGTTTACCTATTATTATGTTTTATTAACTGAAAAAGTATCTTAAAAATATTTTTTAATAATCAGGATTACAAAATGAAAGTGAAAATTTAATTTAATTTTTTTTCAATCCAAAAATATATACTACGTGAAGCTTAGGATAAATCAAAATATTTTATAATAAAGATCGGGGGAGTACGTTGGTCAGAGAATACTCGCGTAGGAGAACGAGCAACTTAGTCTTAATAATTTTATTTATTTTATTTGAAAAATTGACATGCGTTAGTTTTTAACTTTTAACGTTGATGGTTTATATTTAGATCAGTGTTGTTAAACTCGGTTAAGATTGATTGGTTTGATCAATTTAACCGGGAACGAAACTGTTTCTGGTCCAAGTTGTTTTGGAACCCATTTAAGATCAACTCTTAAATAATTAGTAATTAAATTGGCTTTACCTCTACCCTTAACCATAGGCCGAATGGTCGAACCTCGTAATGAGTATGAAGTAACCTTAAATCTTTTGTCCAACTCTCCCACTTATCGAGGTGCCTATCATGAGTGAAGGGATTAGTCACTGTTGCTGACAGTGGATATCTGGAATATGAAAAAAAAAAAAAAAGCTTTACCACTTTATAATGAACCAAAACATTTTTGTTTGTCTTATTCGACTTTTAATTGTTGTTTTTAACTCTATATTTAATCATCATCCATGCACCACAAATTAAATTTCCGGCACCTATGATTCTTTCTATAAAGTGTAACCCAAATAAATAGTACTTACACATGCAATACTTTTCCTTATTAATGAAATTCCTTCTTCTTGCAAGTATAACATATTTTAAAAAGTGTAAAATTACAATAAGTGTTTTATTAGTTTCATATTTTCACTTCGCAGAAACATACTTTTTTTACCGATGTAAATTAATAACACTCAATTTTTAAAAGGCCCAAATTATACTAAAACTTATTTTTTGAATTTTGAATATATTAAAAATTAATTATGATTTATTAACTCATTATCTGGGTCGACCTTGACTCGACCCCCAAACCCTTGGCCATTAAGTTGGCAAGCCGATGCTTTAGGTTGTCGTCAGTCAGGATTAAGGACTTCTTACATTAAGTTTGTTGTACCTTATTTCAAATTTTGTTAGCAAATATTTTTTTTATAATTTTTACTCAGCAAGTTTGTACTATTAACAATTAAATCATGTGACCGGATTGAAACTTAAAAGGTTTGAAATTCAGATATGAACCCTTATGTGAATATATATTATATATATAGATATAGAGGATTCTTTTATCATTTGTACCTAACTCTGACAAATATATAAATTGTGGTAATATTTCTAACCAATATTGAAAGAAATAATTGCTTAATCGGAATTCATGTTGTAACAAACCTCTGATGTGAAGTGCATTGTTCGCATATGTGAAATCAACAAGGCATTTGATTCAAACAACCTCAAACACTAAACGTCATTTCTTGTTATGACTATTGCCACCAAATCAAATAGTCAATCTATCCATTGTAAATTTCTCCATCCGAATTCATTGGTCTGATAACAAAATTGTACCGAACGAAGAGGTGCTTCATGATTCTAGACTGCATGTGAAATGATCAAGTAGACAGTTACGTGGAGTTTGAGATATTTCATTTAATATGAACAGAATCTTAATTTGTGACGAAGTACTTTTGAATTTAAGAATGATGGTGGTACAAAGGACAAAAAAATCCTTTCAAAAAAGAAGCTGAAATAAGATAAAATGAACCGGTTATTTTCATGTCTGTGTAAACTTTTTCATTCGTCAAACGTTTAACTTAACGTATGGGAGAAAATGCTCAATACAACTTTCAAGAACATTCAGCATTGGATTGAGGCACTGCAGTTGGTTTGAACGAATTTTCATAACTTTTAGAACTCGAACAAAACTGATGAACATAAAAGCATATTTATTTGACCAATTGACTTGTAACAAAGCTGGTGGGCAGAAACTTGGTGCACCTTTATGCTGGAAGGGTAACAGATTCTATGCTCAATTTGTGCAAAATAAAACTTCTCTTTAGATTTTCAGACTTCATGTCGATGAAACATCAGGTGATACGGGCTGCCCAAGAGAACTCAAGTTTCAATAACGAAAATTGTGTTGAATGTCAGAAATAAATTCCGCACAGGTTAGAACTGTAGCAAGAAAAAGGGAAAAAAATGTCGTTCCTACCCAAAGGTTTGCTCTCGTCGTCAATTATACCCAATAGATTTTCGGATAGTTAACTTTACCCTAATGTTTGAAATTTTTGTCAATTTCGTCCAATCAGCCCATTTTCCGTCTAAATTAACGGATCTCCGTTAGTTTTTTTAATAAAATAATAAATTAATTACAAAAATACCCCAGTAATTTATAAAAATTTTAAAAATAACCCCTTAAATATATAAAAATAACAAAACAGTCCCTTTTCACTTTTTTTTTTCTCTATCTTGTTCCATTTCTCTTTACTACTTTTAATGACCATCAAAGTCTATTATATGAGTTTTAAAAAAATATTTATTTATTTTCAAACTCTACTGTAAAAATTAATCTTTGTATAGTTGTAACCCATGATTGTATTTACATAAGTATGTTAATTTTTTTAATAATATAGTTTAACAATAAAGACACTATTTTTCTAATTTATTTTATTCTTCCTAACCTAAAGGTTAAAGATTTAAATGAAATTAATATTCCACATAAAACAACATATTAGCTCAAAAAAAAAATGTTAATGTATTTTAGTGTATTACAATTTAATTGAAGAGACTATAACTTGCATTAATATTCATAAAAAAATAGCTAAAATATAAAATAATTACAACCTTAAAAAAAATCCTCCAAACATAAGTTTTCCTTCTTGAATCTAAAACCTATTTTCTATCACAACAATTTATTACTATATTGTTACCTCCATTCATTTATTTTAAACTAAAATCACATAGAATAAGCTAGTAAGACTTCCTCTATAGTAAGATATATTAATATCTCAAATAATTATTACAAAATGTTAAATCCTCGCATTGATAAGTATAAATATTTTTTTATAAATTATATTATACTATGTAGTCTCTCTAGTTAAATTGGAATACACTAAACTATACTAATATATTATTTTTTATTTGAGCCAATATTTTATTTTTATGTGGAATATTAGTTTCATTTAAATATTTTTAATCTTTATGTTTGGAAGAATAAAATAAATCAAGAAAATCGTGTCTTTATTGCTAAACTATATTATTAAAAAGATTATATAAATACAATCATGTGTTACAACTATACAAAGATTAATTTTTACGGTACAGTTTGAAAATAAATAAATATTTTTTTAAAAATCATATGATATACTTTTATAGTCATAAAAAGTAGTTAAGAGAAATGGAACAAAATCGAGAAAAATGAAATAAAAAAGTGAAAATGGACTATTTTGTTATTTTTATATATTTTAGGGGTTATTTTAAAAATTTTTAAAAACTATTGGGGTATTTTGTGTTTAAATTTATTATTTTATTTAAAAACTAACGGAGATCTGTTAAATTGGATGGAAAATGGTCTGATTGGACGAAATTGGCGAAAATTTCAAACATTAGAGTAAAGTTGGCTAACTAAAAATCTATTGGGTATATTGACGACGAGGGTAAAGTTTTGGGTAGAAACGACATTTTTTCCGGAGAAAAAGTGCAAACAATTCCAAGGACCCAAGAATTTCGCAAATGAGAGAACAAATACCCCATTGATTTTTTTTAACAAAACTGAATTTGGCTTTTTATGTTGTCGATAAATCCTTATATTGCACTGGTCGAGCAATAATTTTCAAACTAGTGGATATTCAACGCAGCCTCATTTTGACTTAAATGATATTACCAATATCTTTTGCATAAGCCCTAATTAGTTACAACAAACCAACCAAAAATGTCAGCAAAAAGGCGTTAAACTCGGTATATGTATATGTGTGGGTTTCGCACAAAATTCACTCATCTCTCAATTCTCATAATTAACAGGATTTTCTTCTCTTATTCCCATTCAAAACTCATCCAAATACTCTCAAAACATGGAGGTTTTCTATGTCTCTTTGCTTTCCTTGTTTGTTTTTCTTGTAACCCTTTCACTCAATTCCCTCTTCTTCAAGAAACAATCTGGTTTATCTGGTCCCTTACCCCCCGGGAAGACTGGGTGGCCGTTGATCGGAGAATCCCTAGACTACCTTTCTTGTGGAAGGAAAGGTAAACCTGAAAATTTCGTGTTTGATCGGTTGGCAAAATACTCATCCAGTGTATTCAAAACACATCTTTTCGGAGAAAAAGCTGTTGTTTTCTGTGGGGCTGTGGGGAACAAATTCTTGTTTTCGAACGAAAACAAGCTTGTGGAAGTTTGGTGGCCTCGCTCAATTGACATTGTCTTTCATCCATCCAATGAAACTTCACCAAAAGGAGATGGAATCCAACTGAAAAAAATGTTTCCCAATTTCCTAAAACCCGAAGCATTACAAAGCTACATCGGCACCATGGATGATATTGGTACAAAACATTTTGCTTCTAGTTGGGAGAACCAGGATCAAGTTGAAGTTTACCCACTTTCCAAGAACTACACTTTCTCGGTTGCTGCTAGATTGTTTGTCGGTCTTGAAGATCCTACTGAAGTTGCCAAATTGTTTGAACCTTTTGTTGTTTTGCCTGCTGGGCTGTTTTCATTGCCAATTAATTTGCCTGGAACACCATTTAGTAAATCAATTAAGGCATCAAATCAGATCAGGAAGCAACTTTTGGCAAAGATTAAGCAGAGGAAACTTGATTTGGCTGATGGAAAAGCATCCCCTACTCAGGATCTCTTGTCAGTTATGTTGACTACAAGTACTGAAGACGGGGAATTTTTGAGTGCAACAAACGTTGCTGATAAAATTCTAGGATTGTTAATTGCTGGTCATGACACTACTAGCACTACATGCACTATGATTGCCAAGTATTTAGCTGAGTTGCCTGAGATTTATGAAGCTGTCTACAAGGGTTAGTCTTTCTTCATTTCTAAATCTTTTTCTTTTTCAATATGTTTCATCATTTAGATGGTGTTATAATCATATTAGTGTTTTATCTTCCAATATATAGATATACATGTGTGTGTGTGTTTCATTAATTTCTAATATTTAATTACATATTTCGAGATTTAAACTTAGATAAAATCTTATTATTACCATCCTAAATCATATCTACCTTATAGAAATTTTCCAATCCTCTGGCTATGTTAACACACCCTCCCTCTTGCTCATAATGATTGTTCTGCTTCGTTACTATTCCTACAACTATATGTGGGAGTCAAATTAATGTAGCCTGCTTAACTTCTTTTCACTAAGAAACTTTTTGATTTACATTGATTTGCTCTGTGGCAATAAATTGAATTCACAAAATACTAGATTGTCATATGAGTTTTTCTCATGACCAAAGTGTCTATCTGTATTATTTTCCTTTTCCGTTACGGCCGAAAATTAAGATATTTGTAAAGAATCAAATGGGGTGCCTAGTGCATAAAATGACACAAATATGCTCCCAAATTGGTACTGTAAGCAGGACTATGGCTAGGTTTTCGGAGGTAGAAAAAAATATGTTTCTCGCATTTGGCAAATGCGAAAAAACCAACTTTCGCGTTCAGCAAATGCGAAAATGTAGTGGATTAATTACAATGCATTAAAGACGTTGGATTAAAACTGGATAATTATAATTAATTTAATCCTTCGCATTTGGGGTATGCGAAAATCAACTTTTCGCATATGGCATATGCGAATGTATTAAATCTGTATTTAAAAATTGTTTCCTAACTTTAAATTGGTATAAAATGAAATGTTGTAAATTAAATATTTTGGTTGATAAAATGTTGTAATATTTCAACAAAAAAATACTATTTTAATTGAAAATTAAATTTTCTAAATTTAAAGTATTCATTTGATTTAAGTAAATTTATGTTAGTTCTAAATAGAATTGCAATCCTAAAAATTATATTTGGTGAACAGAAATCGTATAATGCATTTATAATAAAATTTGAATAAGAAGTAAATTAAAATTTCGGTGAAAAATTAGAATATAATCTTGCGTTCTGTAACCAAGTTTGCTTTTAAAAAAATTGACTTTTATTTGATTTCAATTTAAAAACTTACCATCATTAAAAATATAATGTCAAAAAATCAAGTTTATTAATTTTAGAATAATAATATTTTTTACATAATAAAACTTAGAATCAATTCATTTAAAGTAAGGAAAAAAACTAAAACTTTTAGAATCTGATATAATCAGTCCTGCTAAACTTGATAAAACCACACTTCCTTCTAACAATGATCTTTTGGCGACCTGGAAACTTGAATTTGGCACGACGAAAAAGATAGTATTGTATAAAAGTAAGAGTTAAAAAAATTGTACATAATATTGTCTTTTTGAGAAATTTTCTTCTTTAATGTTTGCCTTTTAAATTTTTTTTTTTATCTTAAAGATTAAATAAAACCGAAATAAATTGTTAATGAAAATAAATGAAAGGTATTGCTTAAAACTAATAACAAAAGTTATAAAATAGCATAAAATAAAAGTACAATTCAATCTAATAGTTCTACATCTTGCGCTTTTTCTCCTGAGAATCTGTCATGCAGCACTTTTTCTTCTTTTTTATGTTCCGCTATCCCTTACCCAAAGCAATCGGTGTAAAAGGCATGGTACCATCACTGGGGCCCCGTCCGATCGCGCCCTCATAATGATCATGAGGGAATGCTCGGCATCATCGCATCATCATCATGCTCCCGATCCCCAATATCCTCATGATCTTGATCATCTTCCCGATCATGATGGATATCGTCACCACCTAGATGCGACTATGATGACCACCCTCGTAACTAGTCTCAAAGAAACCCCAGCATTAGGATCTAGATTAATAAAATCTGAATCAAAATGCATTTGCTCAAAAGGAGGAGAGGGATGGTGGTGTGGCGATCTTTGGACGGTAAGGAGACACATGGGGGTAGAAGATTGCCCGCCGTATTCAGGTGGCCACAGGGTTTTCTCATTCTCCCACTCCCTAACTGGAAGCCGCCTCGCTCAGTCCTGGGAGGCCTAGGTGGGATATACTCCTGGGTTGGGTCAGCTGGAACAAAATCTTGGCTTGGGTTCTCACTATCAGCCCAAACAGATGTCTTGCTGACAGTCATTGCCTGCTGTGTCAAATCGTGCAGCTGTGATTCCAAGAATCAGCTGGATTACGTTGTAGCCCATCTAGAGTAATATGCCGCATGTTTTGCACTAAATTGGCCTGAAAATTATAAAAGGAAATAAATATATATGGTAAATAAAAAAAAGGAAATAACATTTTAGAAAGTTATATGTATAAAAATCATATTAATATGGGTGTGATTAAAGAAATAGTAGAACTGTAACTTACCATTATATGTAGTGACTCAGCAGATCCTTGAAAACCCTGGGGCTGACAATAGTCTGATGGATTGGTGACCAAAGTGACAGTGTGATTTTGATACCACACTAGATATTCCGGTGCTGCCTGGGGTTCAAGAGTCATATCCGTCTGAAGACCTGCAAGGGTGTTGTGTCGATTCTCCCACCTCTGTAAGACGTCATCTCGACATTTCTTACCACGCGTCTCCTTATGCAACTTTTCTATTTCTTTTTTCTCCATGATGAAAGTGTTGTCAGGCACCCGCTGCAAGAAGCCGAACTGCCTGGGATGTGTGGCTCTCGGATACCAAAATAAAGCAGCCAAGTCTAGGACATCCATATGGCGGGGCCGGCAAAGCAAGATGGATCAATGTCTGCTAGAATAGCAGGAGAATACGGCATCCAAACAAACTGTAGAGGGACAGATAATACAAAAAAATTATGTGAATATATAAGAAAAAAATAAATTGATTTATACGTTATGATGGTTCAAATAAAAAATACTTACATTATGTTCTTGCAAAATCGCAAGCTGGTCTCGATAGGCGGTTAGATTAAATCGTGTGATGTCTCCCACTTTTCTAGGACGGTTCCACCTACAAAAAAATATAGTTTTGATTGAAAAAATGGAAAAAAAATTATTAAAAAATATAACTAATTAAGATAATTATTGAATAGTTGAAAATTAATTACCTCCTGCCTAAGGGACACCCCTGAAGATCTGGTACGGGCCCACGTAACTCCGGACGGAAAGTCAATATCCGCTCCCAAGCCCATAACTATTTTGCAATAAAATAATACGTGAAATTAAAAATACAAATACAATAATTAAAAAACTAAAAATAAAATACAATTATAAATATTAGGATTCTAACAAAAAATTACAAATAAGGAAAATAAAAATAAATCGAAAAAAATTAAAATAAAATGAATAAAAAACTAACAATCAAATACAAATACAAGGGCGGTTTGAAATTACCTGTAAGAGTAGTAAGCAACCACAAATACCCTGTCCAGACAATGTGATCACTGAGGAAGTGCATAGATTTCGGTACAACCATGCCAGTGTAGCACTACCCCAACTAAACTCCCGAAATGTATTTGGGTCCTCCAAATACCCCACCAGGCCCAGGGGAAAACTGTTTCTGCTGCTATCAGGAAACAATAACCCTCCTAAAATCCATCCGACAAAACAACATGCCCGCTGAAGGTATATATCCTCTGTGGCATCTCCGGGTAGCAGATTAGTCATAATGTGTCTCTTTATATCTGTGATGTTTACTACCTTATCCTTTGTGGCCTTAGGACGCTGTCAGAATCCAAACAGACTCTCTAAATAATCGACCCACTCCACATCCTGCGGAGGTACTGTCCCCTGAACCACTGCATGGCCATCAACCAGCAGACCCAGAAGGACCTCTACATCCTGTAGAGTAATCGTCGCCTCTCTGACAGGCAAGTGAAATGAATGGGTCTCAGGCCGCCATCGCTCAACTAAGGCTGTAATGAGGGCCCAATCTAACTTAATAGAACCAATTCGAAAAAGAGGCCTTAGACCAAACTTTGCTATTTGGGCATGTATCTGTGGGGCAGCCTTGTCTAGTTCAGGCCATAGGTCAGTATCCACTCGGTATGCGGAAAGTTCTTTCAAATAAGCCGTATTACCCCTAAATGTATGGAATGACCTATGATCATCATGAAGGACCAATAAACTCTTATCTATAGGACCCTGCTGGAGGTCATATTGTCTAGACTGCGAAGACGATGATGATCCCGTCTCCATACCCTAAATAAAAATAATACAAACAAATACAAATACACTAAATAAATATAATACAAAATAATACAAACAAATACAAATACACTAGATAAATATAATACAAACAAATACAAATACACTAAATAAATATAATACAAAATAATACAAACAAATAAAAATACATTAAATAAAGATAATACAAAATAATACAAACAAATACAAATACACTAGATAAATATAATACAAACAAATACAAATACACTAAATAAATATAATACAAAATAATACAAACAAATACAAATACACTAAATAAATATAATACAAAATAATACAAACAAATACAAATACACTAAATCAATATAATACAAAATAATACAAACTAATACAAATACCCTAAATAAATATAATACAAACTAATACAAATACCCTAAATAAATATAATACAAACTAATACCAATACACTAAATAAATACAAAAAAAAAATAATACAAACTAATACAAATACCCTAAATAAATATAATACAAACTAAAACAAATACACTAAATAAAAATAATACAAAATAATACAAATACCCTAAATATATTAAATAAAAATAAAACACAAAAAAAAAAATACAACGCCGGCCGACAACAACAACAACAAAAACAACAACGCCGGCGACAACAACTCCGGTCGATCTAAATTCGCCGGCCGTAAATGCGAAGAAATCATTGGAATAAATAAACTAGAACAAAAACGAAATAACACGACATAAATCTGAAAATAAACAAAGCATTATGAAGTACAAAACACTTACCTACCTTTTGTGGAAGAGGAGACGCCGGGAACAATGGCTGAAAAACGGGGAGAACGCCGGGGAGAGAGGAGGCGCCGGCTTCAATGGTGAAAACCGGGGAAAAACCGACGGGGAGAGAAGTGTACTTCAGATTTAGATCTGAAGTTGTTCGCATTTACCGTATGCGAACTTAACCCAGATGATGCCACGTGGCGCCCGTGGCCAGATTAAGAACTTTCGCATTCCCCTTATGCGAATAATCGACTATACGGGAGTCCAGGAGATGACGCCACATGGTGCGACCTGGACAGCTTCATATTGTTCGCATTCCTTTATGCGAAATATTCATGGTCCCGGGAACAGTCTAGAAACTACAACGTTGTAGTTTACTAATGTTCTTTGACGGTAGTCTTGTACTCTTGGACAGTACACAAATACAAACATAGACTTGCATATTGTTCGAATTATTACACAAACCAATACCCAAATACAAATTCAGAATTCTTAGACTCATTACACAAATACAAACTCAGAATTAATCAAACCATTACACAAACACTACCAGAACCACTATTTAAAGATTATTCAGATTATTACGCAAACACAAACTTTGAATTCCTACTCAGAATTCTGCAGATTGATCATCAGAATCATCAGTCTGCATATGGGGTACACCATGCATTCCATATCGATCGTAAGAATGATTCAAAGGAGTCCTGTCTGAAGATGGATGTGAGAATGCGCAGTTGAAGGTATCATGATCAAATCCTCCACATCGCGCGCAAACTTTCTCAACTACGCATGCACTGGCATTTTGGCCTTCTTGATGACATCGACCACAAACTTGAACTCTCTTGTTACCAAATTTTTTCGTATAATCCATAAGTCCTTTCTTTCGATTCACACGCTTCCGACCTGGGCCAGCATGGTGTACGAGTAATGTATCATCAGGCCTCAGATGCCACGTCGCTTGTGGCCATGGTTGAAGGACTGGGTTGAATTCTCCAGAAAACTGAATAGCCCATTGTTCCCTACTATAAAATGAATCAAAAAGTGGTAATGGATCATGACGTAGATACCTAGCAACAGCAAGCGCATGGGAACAAGGAAACCTGTATGTCTGCCACTTGTTACATGTGCACATCCTGGCGGCGTAGTTTACCTCATGGATATTTCCACCCTTCCATGGCCGATCAGGTGGTGAGTACGTGACCACTTGGTACTTCTGATTCCTCTTGCTGAATCTGGTAACCTCGTGACCCATCTGATGTATACGGTAATCCTCATACCGTTTCATGGGATTCGTCGCGAGGGGTGAATGGCATTTGTCAATTTCATCTATGTTTTCCTGAAACAACTTGTTAGTCTTATACAATGTGGCAAGAATCAAAGCAGTGATAGGGAGCATCCGGCAACTTTTTAAGACATTATTAAAACTCTCGGATATGTTCGAAGTCATTTCTCCCCAACGATATCCCCCGTCCCAATAACGGGTACACTTCTCAAGACCGATTTGCTGAAGATATATGGCTGCATCTCTATTTTTACTTTCTAAATTCATCCATTCTTTTTCAAACTTCCCTTTTTGCAACATTGAACAAGCCCTTTGACAAGGTCTTTTGAGTTTCTGCCCAGGAAAATTGCCAGCTAAATTTGCTTTGATGTGCTGCAGACAATAACGGTGCACTCCCATCCCTGGAAATTTATCAAGCATAACATCCATAGCAGCAAGAATACCTGTATGGCGATCAGAGATAATGCAGGTCTCCTTGTCAAGTAGAACAATTTTTTTCAGGTATTTAAGGAACCATTTCCAGCTGTGCAATGTCTCTTTATCCACGAGAGCAAACGCGATGGGAACAATTGTGTTATTCGAGCACTTCACACATGCCACGATCAATGTTGCTTTGTATGAACCTCGGAGGTGGGTGGCATCGACGGTTATGACCGGTCAAGCAGCTCTAAATAAATGTATAGCTGGCCCAAATGCCCAAAAAATGTACCTGCACACCTTCTTCTTCCGATTCTTGGTATCTTTAGTGAACTTAAACTGCATACGGGTATCTGGGTTCGCTTTGAGCAATGCTTCCCGAAAACTGGGCAGTTGTTGAAAGTTGTTTTCCCATGTGCCATACAGACTCTCAAGTGCTTTTCTTCGGCCATGCCATGCCTTTTTGTAATTGGGGGTGACCCTGTATCTCTTATTTACTTCGACTTGGATCTGCGCGACTGAATAACCTGGATCTTTTCGGACATTGGTTGTGATCAATCGAGCAATCATTGTGGACGTCAAGTTACGACCTTCGTTTCTTGTGGTTGCACCAAGACAGTTGTGGCTCTCGACCCATACCACCATTCTCCAAGTATTTGTGTCTTTTTGCAGGGTAGCTCGACATTTCCACAAGCAAGTAATGCCGTGGAGAAGTTCTTCTGGGTACTTCGGCCCTTTCGTCTCGCATTCAGCGGCCCACGTATAGGGACGGCTATATTTTACCCGACATGCCCGACCCTGTCGCAATGTCCATTCCCCCACAGCGGTTTGTACCTCTTTCTTGTTAGCAAAATGTACACCATGTCTAACCGTCTGCCAATTACCGTCCCACATTGTGATCCCATCAGAATCCTCATCCAGTTCAGACTTGTCCATGTCACTGATGTCGTCAAAAATAGAAATTACTACTGAAGATGCGTCATGGTCACTGTAATCATCATCAGACTCATCGGATGGCACATACTCCTCGTCACTGTTCCCATGTACATCATCTTCTGTGTCATCGTCATCTTCATTGGTACCACCAATACCACTACTCCCTGCACCCTCATACTGACCACCAGTAGTTCCTTCCCCAACATCTTGAACAGGTTCATCTGCAACCTCTACGTACAATGCTGGACGCAAATGGGCACCTCGGTAAATCCATGACATTGACTCGTCGTCTCTTATGGGCGCTTGCCCCCTTCTGCCGTACTCATATGTGCAGACTAAAACATATTCCAGATGAAGTATTTGTTGGTTCTCAGATTCTAACAGCCTGTGTACATAATTATCAAGTTCAGAGAAACTCCACACTCGATCGATACGAACTGTTGCATCGGGCGTAAATAACTTCTCCCCATATCCCCAACATGATCGATCACTAGACCAGAATATATTCAGATCGAAGGGACCCGGAAAAGACATATTAAGGGCCTGCACATTTAATTTTTATTCAATTAAACATACAAATACATCAATTCATGCTTGTTATAACAATATTCTACCTCACTAGCAGTAATTTACTCCAAAAACTAACAATAAGTCCTATCTTTAGTGAAAAATCTCTAACATAATTTAATAATTCAAAAAATATAATTCGACATCTATATAACAAGGTTTTCAATTAAAAGAATAAAAATTTTTGATCAAACTAATAAATTTATATTTACACAATGTATTTGATAAAATATAAAATTAACAGAATAAAAACAAATAAAACAGGGTCAAATCAATAACAAAACAAATAATTGGGTCAGAATATAAAATTCAAAAAATTGAGGTATAAAGACCATAATTCGAGATCAACTGGGTTATTCTCTAAATTAATAAAATAACTCATAATATTCAACAAATTCTTCATTCTACATCAAATATATATTTATTGAAGCAAATTTTCTAAAACCAATTCTCAATAACTACCGAAATTATTAAATTTAGTAATTTCGTACACTACAACAAGATTAATAGCCCCAAATGACAATAGAATGTATAAATTTTACAAATTTCATAGAGAAAAAAAACTTACCTAAATGGGTTGTCTCTGTCTTGCTCCCGTTCAGTCCAACCATCCAACCTTCAATATGAAAAATGCCTCTTTCCTGCTCCGCCTCTTCCACCGGAATGAAAATTTCAACTGAATGCAAGAAGAATTGATGGTTTTTAGTTCTGCCGAATTGGGGGTGATGAGTTTTAAATTATGAGTCTAGCCATCACATTCGCATTCGCCAAATGCGAACATTTATCCAAATTGACAGCAATTGCCACGTGTCGATAAGCTATTGACCAGTCAGATTTTAATAGGATAAAAAGACAATTTCGTTTGTTTTTAACCTATATTTTTCTGTTCGCATTCGTTGAATGCGAAAGTCTTATGATGGCCCACACTTTCCTCTTTCCTTTCTCTGTTCGCTTTAATTTATTCAGATTTTTATCTTCGCATTCGGCATATGCGAAATTTGGGTGATGGCCCACTTTGAATTATCTCATTTGTTGATATTATTTGTTTAAGTTTAACTAGTTAATTACGTAAGGTTGTTCGCATATGGTAAATGCGAATATCAATTTCTTCACATATCACAAATGCGAGAAACTCATAAATTTCTACCCCCCAACCCTAAGAACACTTTTTTCTACCAACTAAAATTTGGGTACACTAAACTCACGGACCCTAAGCTTATTCGTCATGGGTGTGACCGATGAAGTACTAACTGAGGAGCACAAGATAGAGATAAGACGTTACTTCTATAATCATCAGGTAAGTTTATACTTCTTTTCACTGCAAAGAAAACATTCTGCGTCCGAGCAGTAGAACCTCCTTTTAGCAAGTTAAGTTGAATTGGTTCTAAATTTATTTTTAGCAATTAATGTTCTTAATTTCTTTGGACTATAGAATGCAGATGGAGGATGGGGATTGCACATTGAAGGACATAGCGTCATGTTCTGCACCGTCCTCACTTATGTTTCTCTGAGGCTTCTCGGAGAATCATCCGCAGACGGAGATGGCGCAATGCGAAATGCCCGGAGTTGGATTATTGATCGAGGGGGAGCAACATTTATTCCTTCATGGGGAAAGTTTTGGCTTTCGGTATGAATATATACATAATGATGGCTATAACAGCTGTTTCGTTTTAAAAATTTATTGAAAACCAACAAGTCCCTCTCTCCCTCCAAAATAATTCATATTGTGTTTTGAAATTTGTACTAATTTTTAGTGCAATTTTAAGAGACACTGTGGACTAAATTCTCTTGGTGCGGAGACAATACATTGTAAGTGTAATACTCCATACGTCCCAAAACTATTGTCCAGTTTATATATTCATTTTTGGTTTAATGAATTAATTAAAAATCTAAACTGAACAATCATGTTGGAACATAGAGAGTATATCCCTATTTCTTTGTGAAAAGTTCAATTGAAGGTTATTGTTTTACGAATTTGTTGAATTTGTAATGACCATTTAGGTTCTTGGGGTTTATGAATGGGACGGCAATAACCCTTTGTTGCCTGAACTATGGCTTCTTCCTTACATACTTCCGATACATCCAGGTACCTATCTGTCCTTTTGGCTATGGCTAGTCAAATGTTTCTCCGTTTCTTGCATGCCCAATTGACCTTCATTCGTTCAAATGATGGTAATTAATTAACATAAGGATCTTCATTGTGGAAATTAGGCTGATTGGCTTGTGAGTTCTACATAACATGCAGATGATTATCTTTTTAACATGATAACTATTTATTCATCGTATATATAGGTCGTATGTGGTGTCACTGCAGAATGGTGTATTTGCCAATGTCATACTTATATGCAAAAAGGCATGTGGCGCCGATGAATGAAACAATTGCATCATTGAGGAAAGAACTCTACTCGAGATCTTACAGTGAAATAGATTGGAACTCTGCTAGAGACCAATGTGCAAAGGTTTGATATATGTCGTGTACATTTGTTCTAAGTTGTCTGTTTTATTGTTGTGTAGCTTATATCACTTTAATGTGGAAATCTTTTCTCTCAAATCTCTTGCTATCATTTTTACTTATTCATACTTGTCGCACGTATTGCTGATTATATGTGGTCACCGTTGTGGTATTACAACAATGCCGTCCACTGACCTTGCAGGAAGATCTATATTTTCCTCACACCAGGGTGCATGAAATCCTCTCAAGTAGTTTACATAATGTTGTGGAGCCTCTTCTGAAAAAGTGGCCTTTGTCCAAATTGAGGGATAGAGCTCTAACTATGGTCATGGATCATATTCATCATGAAGATACAAGTACTCATTATCTCTGTCTTGGACCTCTGAACAAGGTAGTTATTTCAAGTTCTAGATATTGTGTGAATAGTCTCTTTGACGGATATCTATAGTATATCCTACGTTAAAATGTTATGTTAATTTCAGTTAGATTATTTTTCGATCAAAAGTACTATTAAAATCTTGCTATGAGCTTGCAAATGCATGCAATTTGATTAGATCAGAATCTTGCTTTAGTTTTCTAAGCGCTGATTAAATAGTATTATACTTAAAATAGCTCAATGTGCACCCTAATTTTAATTTGGACATTGCGTAAATCTATTTGGTGAATTTGCCATTGATATGAAAATTTATGTAACTGAGTAGGTTCTAAACATGATCTGTTGTTGGGTGGAGAATCCGAATTCAAAAGCAGTCAAATGTCATCTGGCAAGAATAAAGGATTACTTATGGGTAGCAGAAGATGGCATGAAAATGAAGGTTTTGATACTACATTGCTTCCTTCTTTCAGAATTTTGAACTTCTGTAATTATCCATCGTATGGACTGTATAATATCATGGTTTCGAAGTAAAGGTTGCAATTGTTTCCCTTACACCTTTCAAATTATAGGGCTATAATGGAACTCAGTTATGGGATACTGCCTTTTCCGTTCAAGCAATAGTGGCGTCCAATCTCCCCAATGAATACGGGTGCATACTCAAGAAAGCACATGAATACATAATTCAAACACAGGTAGCTGATTTGAAGTTTGAAATTCAGATACTATTAACTACGTTTTCCTTTCAGCAGTGACATTGTTTGTTCTTGTTATATGTAACTTAAAAGATTAGGGAGAATTACTCAGGAGATCCTAGTTCATGTTACCGCCACATTTCAAAAGGCGGATGGCCCTTCTCTACTAGGGATAATGGCTGGCCGGTAACAGATTGCACTGCAGAAGGCTTGAAGGTCCGATGTCTTTTCCACCAGAAAAATAATGTTGTTCTGAAGGAACTAATCTAGGAAGAAAAAACTTTGCATTTTCTGTCTTGTCAAAGAAATTCAGTTATTCTACCTTCTCCTATTGTTCTTGATTTCATTTGATATGCACTAAACTGATAAGAATATCAACTGGATAGTACTCTAGTTTCCTGATCACAGCAAACAGTACTATTATTTTGTGACAACATCCTTATATACACTCGTTGTGCAGACAATAGTGATACTATCTAGCATGCCATCTGATGTTGTTGGAGAAGCAATGCAACAAGACAAGCTATTTGACGCAGTTGATTTAATTCTATCCTTTCAGGTTAATTATTCTCTATCTGAAGTCAAATAGTTTTCTCCTTGCTTGGAAGATGGAAAACAGATTTGATTGAAATTCATATGAAACTTGATTTGAAGTTCATACTCTTAATTTAGTCCATCACACGCGACAACTAGTTAAGCTAGATTTTGGACATCTCGACATCTCATCATTGAATGATCGAGCTAGGCATACATATGTAGAAATAGATTCACTTAGTTTGTATCTGGAACAAATGCCTTGATTGATTTCAGGATTGTCCACTTACTACCATCTCTCATTGTCTTCTTTGCATGTGGCAGAATGGGAATGGGGGTTTCGCTTCATTTGAACCAACTAGATCTTATGAATGGTTGGAGGTATGGAATCCAATCCTGCCATTAGTTTTTTTCTCAAAAGGGAGCAGCTATATTTCGTTTTGCGCTCACATAGTTTTTATATCTTGCAGATGCTTAATCCAGCAGAATTATTTGGAGATATAATTATAGATTACTCGTAAGATCACATTCTCATCTGCTACATTATCCTTCTTTGACGTTTCAATATCATAAGGAGACTGAAAAACGTGATCAGACTAGCGAGGATAGATTTTGTAATTTAAGGAAAGCATTCATATCGCTTTGCCTCTGGGATGAAATTAATAGGTATATGGAATGCACCTCGGCATCAATTCAAGCTCTTGATTCTTTCACGAAGTCATTTCCAAGATATCGTAGAAAAGAGATCGACACATGCATACAGAAAGCTATAAATTTCATTGAACGCATGCAACTTCCTGATGGCTCTTGGTAATCTTTATTTTTCACTAAAATCTACAGAATCCATGGATACAAAAAAGAGCAATACATATTGACGTACTAGTTCATCAAGTACCCATAGTTTTACATGTTTTAAGGAGTATGGTTGATTGAAATTACACAATCATCAGGTATGGATGCTGGGGAGTTGGCTACACCTATGGAACTTGGTTTGGCATAGCAGCTTTGCTTGTTGGAGGAAGGAAATATGAGAACTGTCCAAGCATTAGAAAGGCTTGCTATTTCTTACTGTCCAAACAACTTGAATCTGGTGGTTGGGGAGAAAGCTATCTTTCTTGCCAAAACAAGGTTAACATTTAATATATAAATGAACAATTATCTTCACATTTTGAGGCGCAAAATCCATGACTTCCTTATGGGGAATATGAGTTATGCATTGTAGAGAATCATTAGCGCGTCCGAAAAGCTAATGAGCTCCAGACGGGCATGCGCTGTTGAAGTTTTGCTCACATTTTTAAGTTTTACATTTCTCTACAGGTATACACAAATATTGAGGGGAACAAGTCGCATAACGTTAATACCGCATGGGCGATGTTAGCCCTTATCCAAGCAGGACAGGTAAATCAAGAGAGAGTTTATCAAACATCAATCATCACAGTCTATAGAAAATTGAATTGGCATTAATAAGTAGTATAAAATAAAATCTGGTACTAACATCTGATCGATGATAAAGCAGGCTAACAGAGATCCTGCTCCTCTGCATCGCGCTGCGAAAGTGCTAATTAATTCGCAGATGGAAAACGGAGACTTTCCCCAACAGGTATAATATATTGCATAGAGAAAAGTTTGTATTACATCCGAATAAGTTTTTGTTTTTGTATAACATTCTATTGACTGCAAACTATTGAATGTTTACAGGAAATAAGTGGCGTTTTCAACAAAAATTGCATGATAAGCTGCTCAGCCTACAAAAGCATTTTCCCCATCTGGGCACTTGGAGTGTACCTAAATGAAGTTCTACTGCCAAAAGTCTGATTTATTATGGTTTGTTATTTGAAGCTTTGATAGTCTTAAGCAATAATAAAACAAGGATATTGTATTTTGGGAATTACTGTCATTTGCAAGATTTTAAATATTTCTGTGAAATTTTTGGAAAACTTATAAATTTTAATATAGTCGACGTTTATCATTTGATGTTTTGGGGACAACACTATTCCATTTTATAAACTCATGGGACTGCCATTTATCTCTTAAGCTTCATTTGGATTTTCTTTTTTCTGTATGTGTTTTGATGTTTTCTTTTATTGAAATTATAAAAAAGTGTGTTGGAACATGAAAATGTAGAAGAATTAATTTATTTAAAAGATAAGTATATTATTTAAAACTAGAAAAAAATAGACAAAAAACCCTTGTGGAGAGGCATCCTAACGGAGACTTTGGTTCTTGTTTGGAGTTTTAAGAATAATTTTCTCTATATGTTTGATTAACGTTTTCTGTCAATGATCGTTTGTTTTACTGTCAGAGATTTAATATAGGCGACCTTTTTGGCTTGATCTTAAACGTGTACTGCTTTTGGCTTATTACATGTAAATCTGAATCTTCTTAATCAAATCCTATCAGCTGTGTTACTATTGTTTCAAGTAGATGTTGGTTAAAGTGTTTATCTTCCATCACAAAATGATTTTTTAGTGCAAATTGTAATGGAAATGAAATCTAAACAGGATAATTGTTTTGAGACAGGAGAATAATTCTTCAATGAGAAGATTCTTTTATGCTTGTGTTTGCACAATTTTCGTCCTAAAAAGAATTTATGCAAATATATCTATCAAACAATTGTGCGTGGTTCCTAATAATTGTGCTAATAAAAAATAAGAGAGATTTCGGAATTTGAAAATCGGCCGTAGGCCAGATTTTATTGAAACTTGTTGAAGAAAAATTACAGTCACCGAAACTTGGCCTAATCTACGGAGTTCTCAAAGAACCCTAATTTTAGAGTATTAATCGGAAATAAAAGACTGAATTTTAAAGAAGCAATTTGATGCTATTTTGATTGTGTCCTTCCTCCTACCACCGATCTCCTTATATAGACCTTATAAACTAAGTCGGTTCACAAATTCTTTTTTAACTCTAATTACGGCCTCTTCCCTTTTAATCAGAATTGGGCCATCCAAGCTTCCTTTCACCACGGCCCACAGCTACGCGTTATCAACACAGCACAACTCCAATGCCCTATATAGCCGCAAGTAAATAAAAACTGGCCCAACAGCTTGATATCATTTGGTGGATGAGGCTTAGGTTAAACATATGAAACCAAGTTGGCGGACCCTCTGTACTTTCTTTCACAGTAAAGCTTGTGATCAGGCCTAACGTTGTTTGCATAGTCGAATAAAAAAATTGGTAAATATCACTCTTCAAAGTTTTCCTTTTTTTTTTGACTTATCATCATCCTTTCATACCTGGAAGTGGATTAGTAGTCTCCCTGAGATTTGCGTACCTTTAAGATAAAAGAGAATACTCTTCCCCTGATGAATACATTTGTGGGTGTGGGCAGTGTTGGAGTTAGAAATTTTAATAGAATAAATGTGGAAATTTAAAAATGACAAAGTATTGAGATGTTAAGAAAAAAAAGTTATGAATTTATGCGAAATATTTGCACTTCTAAGTGTTCACTAACAAAATCAAGTCCCTAAAATTCCTCTAACACTAAGTATCCCTCTTCCGCACCTCATAGTCAATATGGCTTTGGAATTGTGAGAATTAAGAACACTAATTATTAAAAAATAATAAAAAAAACAGGCCAAAGGCAAGCCTCAAGTGATAAGTTTGGGTGTGAAATATGGGGTAGACCACTTTATATTTTATTTTTTTTTATTCAAATTTACTTGCCCAAAGTTGTATTCTAAAAGCTTGCTGGGTTAATTTTTTTGACTTGAAATTTCAAATTGTCATTTAACAAAATAAAATCAAATGTATTTCTTTTTCTTTTTGCGAACTTGTGTTATGTATAAATTTTTTATTGAAAAGTAAAAATAAATCTGCTTCAAATACAGTTTGGATTTTTTTAAAAAACAAATTTGTTTTCAGCGTACCATTAAAAAAAATTAAAGGTTAATTCTTTTGTTTCTTTTCTGAAAGCCTCAGGAACTTATTTTGGGGATATTAAAAAGAAGTATTTATGGTTAATTTTATTACATGATCCACAAGAAAGCCTCCTCCTCTTCTCTTCCTCTAATTTCCATGTCCTATGGCGAGAGCTTTAGTACAGTCAACCAGTTTACCTTCGGCGGCTCCTACGTTGAATTTTTCACCATCAAAAAGGAACAATGGTTGCAGAAGCAGAAAAAGATCAACAATCACAATGTTTTGCATTTCTCCGCCAGCGGCTTCACCTCTGAGGTTGAGTTTAAACAAATTTTCATACAGCGTTCGTCCAAGGCTTAAAACAGTTTGGTCGTACGATGTGATCACGGCGGCAGCGGCGAAACTTTCGATTCGAAAGTGCGAGCAATGAACAATACTTTTGGTTCTGGAGAAAAGCGTTTTAGCCGAATCGTACCCAAAACCATGTTTGAACAGTTTACCAGTGAAGCTGTAAAAGTTCTCTTGCTTGCACAAGAAGAGGCAAGGCTTATGGGCCATAATATTGTTGGAACGGAGCATTTATTACTGGGTCTAATTTCTGAAGACACTAGTATTAATTCGAAACCTGAAATCTGTTGGCATTAATTCGAAAAATACCCGTTTTGAAGTAGAAAAGATTGATAGAAAGGGAAGCGGAATTGTGACCGTGGAGATCCCTTTCATGCCACGTGCAAAACGAGTTTTGGAACATGTTCTTGAGGAGGCTCGCCAACTCGGCCATTGTTATATTGCACCAAAGCACATTTTGCTTGGGTTGATTCGTGAGGGTGAAGGTGCAGGTTGTTGCGTCATTGGTAACTTAGGTGGCGATTTGGGTGAAATTCGGACACGGCTGATTGAAATGATACTACGTAAAGATAAACTAGCAGAAGCAGGAGCTGGTGTGAAGATGGAGAATAATAATGTTAATGTACTTGAAGACTATGGTACAAATTTGACAGAGCTTGCCAAGGAGGGGAAATTGGATCAAGTAATTGGAAGAGAGGAACTAATTGAGCGTGTTATTCGAATCTTGCGCAAACGGTTGAGAAAAACCCCTATCCTCGTTGGAGCGAATGGAGTTGGGAAAACAGCTATTGTTGAGGGTCTTGCTAAAAGGATTGCAAGTGGTAACGTTCCTGAGTCAATTCAAGGGAAGAAGGTAAATACTCATTTCTTCGAGTAAAGTTGTATGGTCTCAAGGGTTTGGAAAATATGTAGGTTTTTGGTGATTCAGAAGCTTTTGTCATTCAATACTTAAATTATGGGGAGTCGAACTTCGAATTGTTGTTGCTCTTTAGGTTATAAAACTAGACATGCGGCTCTTGGTTGCTAGAGAAAAAGATCGGGAAAAAAGGCTCAGGAATTTGATCGAGGTGCTAGAAAAAAGTGATGACATTATACATTTCATCGATGAAGTTAAATCCTTTATCGGAGCTGTTGATGATGACATTGACGGAGCAATAGATGCGGCAATTGTTTTAAGACACGCTCTATCTTGTGGTAAGCTGCAGGTAAATCGTTTTCTTTTCTTTGAAGTGAAGCAAGTTAATTTTGCAAAAGATTGCATATTTGGAAGGTTCTGGTGTATATTGACTATTTTGGCAAGTGAATGATTCTCTTAATTAGGTAGTTATAAATAGAAGTTGTGATACTGCCTTTGTCCAAGGAAATATGAGGCTTGAAGTTTATAACTTGATCGCGTCCATTCCTTTCTCCTAAGAATCTTGCTAAGTTCATAATGATACGCTAGCTGTTTCACTTTATTATTTCCAAATGGTGGAGAATGATACTTGTCGTACGTATTGCTCATGTGTGCAGGATTTTACTGACATATTGTTTTGATGGATTTCAGTTTATTGGGGCTACTTTGTACGGCGTGTACATTATACCGATGATCCAGCTCTTGGGCGACATATCGAGCCAATTAATGTGCCTGAACCTTCTGTCAATGAAACTGTTGAGATTTTGAAGGCGTTTCGAGAGCGATTCGACACATATCACAACGTACGGTACACAGATGAGTCTTTGGTCGCAGCTGCCAAGCTCTCCCGCAAATGTTTCAGGTCCCTTACTGTATTCATTCATATCACTTCTCATCGTCACATTCGTGTCATTTTCACTTGTTCTTCACCTGTTATGCTAGCATTAATTTCACATTCCCCTCCATTTTAGCTACTCAAACATTAATAGTTTTCCGTGTTAAGAGAAATTGTAGCACCCCAAAAATGGCAATGTATTTGATGTGTTCCCAAATCATTTCTTGATCATACTTTGAATCAACTTCTCAGTTTTTCTGGGAACAGATAACTGATCGATTTCTGTCATTATTTCTTTCCCTTTATATGTGACACAGCTGCTAATGTTCCAATGAACGGCTGGATAGATTGATCTTGGGCCAATGTCATATTTATTGTAAACAACATTCAACTTTGTTCTTGCATCAAGATTTAGAGATGTTTAATGTGATATTAAGGCCTACTGAATAACATACTTCTTTCGCGTTTGTAATTTTCTTCTCTTAGTGACCGGCACTTACCTGATAAAGCAATCGACTTAATGGACGATGCTGGTTCTCGGGCTAGATTCCATCTTACACGAAGCCATGCTCAGGTCTATAGACTCTTCTCACTCTCTGTAAGTTGTTTCAATGGAGCTGCCTTTCAGCATGTAGGTTATAATTAAACCTTCTTCCTCTTCTCCTTCAGGTTCAAAAAGAGGTTACAGCAAGGCAGATTGAGCTCGGACATGTTATCTCCGATAAGCTTAAAGCTCTCCAAAATCAAGATTTTGAAAAGGTAGTTATTACGTCTAGATCCTTACAAACACGGGAATGGGACACTATATGTCTTGTTGCATACATGTCATTTCAGTTTCTACCTCATTCCCTTTTACAACTCATTTTGCCTATTATTATTCTTATGTTTGTAAGATTCACTGTCTAGCTGAAGATGTTGACTTAACTATCAACGATTGTTCATAGTTAACTAATGTGTTCTTCGAGTTGCTGTCCATATATGAAAGATATTCGAATAGCTTAACTATATTTTCATTTAGGCCTGTGACTTACATGATAGAGAAAGAGATCTAAAGGTCCAAATCTCAGAATTCGACAACAAAGAGATAAAAGCGGACGAAACGGATAAATCAGAGGGACTTGTTACTGAAGAGGATATCCAGGATACTTTTCTGTTGGACTGGATGGTTTCCGAAATTCCAATGAAGTGCTGAATTCAATCATTGGAATGGTCGGAATCGATATACTCCATCGTGCTTTTTTATTGATCAAAACTGAGATATCTAGTTTATATTAACGGTAAATGTGTTGCCTGTTGGTTATCCTATTTCCGACATTAGATTATATTGCGCAAAGGAATGAAGTGTGTTATCTCCTAGACTATTTATTTGAACTAATTAGGGTACCAAAGTCACGCATTGGTATGTGTAATATCCAAAGTACTTCGTTATAACTAAGTTTAGAGCTATGTTACTTGCTTACCCCTTGCTTGGGGTGTTCTTTCTACTATTTTTATTTGGTGCGAACAGAGAAATGATTGACGCACGTTAACGTTTACAATGTATCCTCTTGTAGTGAGTGATCTTTATCAACATTTCAGCAATGTAATGTCTATGACGCTCATGAGGATAGAAACGATTCATTTCCATTTTCATGCATGTCCTAATACTAGCTAAATCATATCGCTGAATATGCGTTGTAAAATTAGGTTTAACTTTCGGGACTTCAAGATATCTAGAAGACGAATATTATCACCGCCATCTTCGTAATATTCACCTTTTTTTTTTATATTTTACTCGTAAGACTTTACGGCGATGTTCTTGTTTTAACTTTTAAGAGTAATTTTCTCTATACGTTTGATTAGAGTTTGTCTAGTACTGTTGGAGTTAGTAGGTCACAAGAAGTCTATTTTTTTGTAGTGCGGATTATATAATACGCAATAAAGATAGTATTTTCTCTAAAAGAAAAATTACGTGATATACATCTTCCATCTTCCTCTCTACCTGTTAAGAATTGTACAAACTAAATTGAATGATCATTTCCGGAATAAAAAAAAATAAAAAAATAAAACCACAAAGTAATCGCTATTCTTTTTTCCATGTGAAGAAAAACCCTTCTGCAGCCGCCACCGTCGCAACCATATTTAGGAAAATATATTAGGGTATTAGTCTTCTATAAAAAAAAAATAATTAACTTTTTTAACTTAGGGTTCATTCTATTATCCTACGCACGCACATCCATTTTCCTCCTCACAGGAGCCAGAGGAATAAGAAAGCAGTCATGGCAAGAGCTTTAGTGCAGTCAACGGCTAGTCTACCTTGGGTGCATCCTACGATAAATTTCTCCCAATCTAATAGGATGTTCCGCATTTCTCCGGCGCCGGCGGCGCCTCCTCTGAGGTTGAATTTGAGAAGTTTCTCTGGACTCAACAGTTTCGTCGTCCGATGTGAGGGTGGCCGCAAATTGTTTTATCCAGTAGTGCACGCAATCATGGATACAGCTTTGGCTTTCGCTTCGGGAAAGGCCGGAAAGGTCCCAAAACCTTCGTTTGATGGGTGCACAGAGAAAGCTAAGGAGGTTTTGAAGCTTGCTGAAGATGAGGCAAGGCTTTTAGGCCATAATTTCATTGACACGGAGCATATATTGTTGGGCCTACTTCATGAGGATGATACAGGTAATAATATTGCAGCTAAGGTTCTGGAATCCGTCGGAATTAATTTGCAAGATGCCCGTTTGGAAGTAGAGAAATTAGTTGGAAGAGGAAGTGGTTTTGTGGCCGAGGAGATCCCTTTTACACTGCGTGCAACGCGAGTTTTGGAATCTCTCAAGGAGGTTCGCCGAGAACTCTATGGTGGTTTTATTGGACCGGAGCACATCTTGTTCGGGTTGATTCGAGAGGGTGAAGGCGTAGGAGCTCGTGTTCTTGAGAATTTAGGTGGTAGTGAAATTCGGCTTCGTGTGATTGAAATGCTACATGAAACTTATAAACAAGTAGAAAAAGAAGAAGAAGAAGTTGTTAATAAGATGGATGGAGTTAGTTTACTTGAAGAGTATGGTAGCAATTTGACGGAGCTTGCCAAACAGGGGGAACTGAATCCCTTAATTGGAAAACAGGAAGAAATTCAGCATGTTATTCGAACATTGTGCCGACGGTCGAAGAACATCCCTATCCTCATTGGAGAGGAACTTCTCTGGAACATTAAAATCATTCGGAGTGTCGCGCAACGGATCGCCAATGGTGATGTTCCTGAGACACTTCAGCGGAAGGAGGTAATCAAAGACTTATTTCTTCGAAAACTATGTAACTTTTTTGGCAAGTTGGATGCTTTTGTTATTGGATACTAGGAGTATAAGATTGGTGATTTTCGAATTTTAATTTGTTGATCTTCAGGTCATACAACTGGACATGAGACTCCTCCTTGCTAGAGAAGAAAACCGTGAAGAAAGGCTGAATAAATTGATTGAGGAGATAAAACAACGCGATTGCATTGTGGTTTTCCCTGATGAAGTGCAAGCATTTATTGGACCTCACAGTGACGTTGACGGAGCAGTTGATGCTGCAACCATTTTAAGGTCTGCTCTATCTCGTGGCGAGCTACAGGTAATCCATTCAAAAATTCAGGCAGAGAAGAAAAAAAACATTCCACATTGTCTGTTGCATAGTTCTGGTGTAGATTGATTAAATAAAGATTCTCGTCATATGTCACATTTTCTTACTTTGTATTCATGCTCATATTCTGTTCAGTTAGTTTCGATTTAGTGGAGGATTATACTTTCTAGTGAGTTATTTTTGCTTATGCATCGAGGAGTTTACGATACCTTATGTTAATGGGTTTCAGTGTATTGGAGCTACTACAATGGAATTGTACAAACGGTATATGAAGGAGGATCCAGCTCTAGACAGACATATGGACCCAATTAAGGTGGCTGAACCTTCTGTGGATGAAATTGTTGAAAGTTTAAATTGGTTCCGGGGGACTTTTGAGACTCTTCACAATGTGCAGTACACAGATGAGTCTTTAGTTGCGGCTGCCAAGCTCTCGCAGGAATGTTTCAAGTTCGCTTGCTCTACAACTGATACCGCGAGGAAATTGATGAATGCTGCTGGTTCTCGTGTTGAATGTCGTCTTAAACAAAGTCATGCTAAGGTCTAGACTTCTTCTCTCACCATCTTTAGTTTGTTTCAATGGAGCTGTTTTTCCGAATGTAGGTAAATTAACCCTCTTCCTCCTTTACTTCAGGTTCAAGAGGAAGTTGCAGCTCTCCAGACTGAGATTGGACAAGTCAACTCGGATAAGCTAGAGGCTCTTGAAAATCAAGACTTCGAAAAGGTAGTTTTTATTTCTAGATCGGCATGTAGTGAAATGCGACATATGTCTTTATCTATGTCTTTTCATTTTCTGTCTTGATTCACTTTCTCAATTCATTTTGCCTATCACACTATTCTTATGTTTGTATGATTTACTGCCTAGCAGTGAAAGTTGGCTGTACTCTATGTCGTGAACTAAACTATTTTTGAATTTCCTGTTAATGAACATGCTAATTTCTTACCATTTTCTTCTTATGCTTGTTACATTTAACTCTAGGCCTTTGAGTTACACGAGGAAGAGGAAAATCTTATGGCTCAAATAGCAGTAATTTACGAAGATAGAAATGAGGCGGAAACTGAGTCAGATGGAGTTGTGACTGAAGAGGATATCCGGGATACTCTGTTGTTGGACTGGAATGTTTCGGAAATTCCAAGCAATGATGAAATCAATCAGGCTGAAGCTAGTACCCTCTAGTCGTGCTATTTAATATTTGATCCAAACTGAGATATCACTAGACTTATCAAGTTCATTCATCCACCGGAAGATGTTTTAACTAATTATCTTTTTTATTTTTCACTTTTTTGTTTTTTTACATTGCGCACATATGTGGCATTCATACTTATTACTCCAAGTAATTTATAAATGGAGCCAGGTCAGAAGACAAAACTCTTACAACAAGAAATTCGCTTGAACAAATTAATCAAATACGCGAAAAATTATTCGGTGCAGCAGCATCACCACATCAGCAGCCTTACGTGGTGTAGCAAGCCAACCCAACAAAGACACGTGTCTTTTCATTTCTCAGCCTTTGACCCAGGTTCTCTTGTTCGCCCAATTTCCTCTGGTGGAATCCCCTAATGAAGAGCGTATTACATCAATACTAAAAATAGTTCCCCACATTTGTTGTCGCCGTTGTTCCTGCCGGAAGAGAAGGAGTTGCCATGGAGCTCATTCATGAAAGACGCGGGAAAATAATTTCTGAAATTATATTTTTGATGAAAGATCGTGGGATTCCTTTAATCTGCCCGTTTATGGTGTTTTTTCATCATATAGAAACCGATTTCTATTCCAAAATTCCATCTTTTCCCTTAATAATTTTTTCTTTTGGCTAATGGGATCTCTAGAAGAAGTAAATTGGAACTCCAAATGTAACCAAGGTAAGCATCATCCTCAACTTGATTTTACTTCCTCCAGGATTTTTCATCCAAACTATTTGAAGCTATTTTTGCCCATAAAATTTCAGAGGTTGGCAATTTTTTTTTTTTCACTTTACTAATGCAATTCGATTGTCTGGAATTTATAATTTGATTCGTGGTATTTTACAACTTTGTGATATTGTCGTTGCTCAAATTCTGATATGCCTAATAGTGACTAGATATCAATGCTACATTAATCTTAGAAGTTTCACGCATTAGTCGTATATTAGTCAATATTAGTATTTTGTCTCGTACTACTTAATACTTATGAATGTATGTGTTGTCCTTATAATTAAGTCATGAGAATTTTATCATGTAAAATAACGTATGCCATATCCTTGGCATAGTCATCTATATTATTAGTTTAGCTTATGCAAACTAATTAGAAACTTGTTGTTATGGACCTTGCTGTGGTACAAAGTCTAGTTTTCATATCGTATCGAAGACCACATCATATAAAGTTGAATGTGAAATTATGATTAGAACCACATATTTGTTCATTTGAACCTTGTTGTTTGTGAATTCTGATTTGTAATTGAGCATTTCTATGATCATCTCTTTACAGTTGTTGATTTAAACCATGCATTTGTTGATTTGGACTGTGAAGAAATCGGTGAAAAACAAAACGAACAAGAAAAGAAAGAAATTCAAGGAGCAGTAATAAGATGTGTTAATAGTGAGCTACGTTTAAGGCTTGCGATAATAGTGCGTTGTGAGGAAGAAGCATACAAATTATATAATGAATATGCATTATATAAAGGTTTTAGTATTCGTCGTGGCCAAATGCGGTATAAGTATTGAACTAAAGAGGTTAGTAGAAGACCTTTTGTTTGTTCAAAACAAGGTTTCCGTGATTATGATCCTTTTGAAGAGAAAAAGGTTGATCGTCTAGAAACTAGGACTGGATGTGAGGCTTTTGTGACGTTTAAGGTGGAAAATGGTTTTTGTGAAGTTATTTGTTTCAATGATGATCATAATCATGAGTTTCCTTTACCGGAGCAAAGACATTTGTTAAGTTCAGGGAGAACACTTTCAAATATTACAAAAGATGTGGTTGATTCCTTGAACCGTGCAGGTGTTGGGCCAGCAAAAGCACATGAATTTCTTGCTCTAGAACATGGTGGATATCAAAATATTCCGGCCACTAAAAGGGATGTTCAAAATTATGTGAATAGAACAAGAATGAATTTATTTGAAGCTGGAGATGCTCAGGCTCTTTTGAACCATTTGAAGGATAAGCAAGCGGCCGATCCTATGTTTTTCTATTTACCTCAACTAGATGACCAAAATCGGTTAACTAATATATTTTGGAGAGATACAATGTCCAAGTTTGATTACGATTGTTTTGGAGATATGATAGTTTTTTATACTACTTTCCGGACAAACACGTATGACATGATTTGTGCCCCATTTATTGGAATAAATCATCATTGGCAAAATATATTGTTTGGTTGTGCATTGCTTCTTGATGAAACTATTTCTTCCTCGATTTGGTTATTTGAGACTTTTATGGCAGCGATGGGCAACAACAACCCAAACATTATCTTTACAGATCAAAATGCAGCAATGGCTAATGCTATTAGCATGTTTTCCCTGATGCATGTCATTGGCTATGCACTTGGCACATACAAAAAAATGCCGCCACCAATATTCCACATCTTTATGGTAATCCTGAATTCAAAAAGAAATTTTATAATTCCTTTGGTGGCTATAAAACTGAGGAAGAGTTTGAGCATAATTGGAGATTAATGATCAAAGAGTGGGGTCTGCAGGGCAATAGATGGCTTAAAAGGCTTTATGAAAATCGCATAAAATGGTCTCCTGTGTCTAGTCATGATAATTTTTCTGCGAATATGAAGTCTACCCAAAGAAGTGAAAGTGCTAACAATGTCTTTCAAAGTATGTCATGTAAGACTCTGCCTTTGATTGAGTTCATTAAGCATTATGAGAGAAATGCTGAAAAAATGTGTGAAGCTGAAACTGCTGAAGATTTTATAGGTATACATGGAAGACCTCATGTTCGCATACCTAGTGGAATCTTGATGCATGCAGCTGAAGTATATACCTTCAAATTGTTCACCATGTTTCAAGCAAAATTTGTTGAAGGTGTGTCAGAAAAGATAATTGAACATGTTCATGATGGCATGATTGATTGCTTTAAATTGATGAAGGAAAGGTCCTCAAAGGTACACACTGTTTTGTTTGATATTTCCATATTTGATATTAGTTGTATTTGCAAGAAGTTTGAGACTTTGGGTTTACTTTGTTGTCACATATTAAGAGTCTTGAATGTGAGTAAAAATGATAGTAGAATTCCAGAGAAGTATATATTGAAAAGGTGGACAAAGAATGCAAAAGATATTCACATTCATGGTAATAGAATTTCATCCGTGAAAGGTGATGTGAAAGAGTCAAAGACACTTATATTTAGTAAGCTAATGCACAAACAAGCAAGGTTATGAATTTGGCTATGTTTGATGAGAGGGCTGTTGAAATTTTTGAAGAATTAATTGATGAAGTGATGGGGAACATGGGCTCAATTGAAATTAGACAGAATAGACAAACCCTAGCTCTGGGGATTTTAGAAAGACAAGTCTTTTGGAAGCTTTAAAAGCTTGGTTTTTATAAGATACCAAAATAACGTGAATAACAAAGCTACAGAAGGTCTTTCTTTATAGAGAGATTTTGTTTATTCCTAATCCAACTAGACATAGTAACTTCTTAAAACTTAGGACTAAAACTGACGTTCAAATAAAATACTTAATAGAAAAGGAAACTACTTATACTAATTTAATAATAAAACTATTTCCCTAAACAATCCTGCATCAACTCTCAACAGCTGAATAAGTCTCGGCTCCTGATGAAAACACTTGATCAAGCTACTCACAAATGGTAGGATCAAGCTTTCATAATTCATCTTCCGAAACCCAAGTATTATCCTTAGAAGCTTTGCCCACCCATTTAACCAAGAATCGTCGATAAACTCTTCCTTGCTGAGACTCCACTTCTTCGACATCCAAAATTTCATCAACCAACTCCTTATCTTTTTTAGCTAATGCTGGAGACCAGTCTTTTTCCTCAAGCTGATCATCATCCTCATCAAACTCGTGAAACTTATACAAGTCTGACACATTAAAAATGGGACTGATTTGAACATTGTCAGGAAGATCTAAAACAAAAGCATTGGAACTAATTTTCTTCAAAACACGGCAAGGTCTAAATTTTCTGGGATGTAATTTGTGATAAACTCCCTTTGGAACTCTTTCTTTCCGTAGATAAACCATCACTTGATCTCCTTCAGCAAATTCCTTTGTCCTACGGTGGACATCAACTACTTCTTTTTATTGAGCATTGCTAGCTTCAATAGCGGCTTGAACTTCATTATAAATTCCCTTCACATGATCAGTATAATTTTCAGCATCAGCATTGACCCTTGATTCTGGTGGTAGTGGAATAAGGTCCAAGACATGTTGAAGCTGGTAACCATAAACTATTTCAAAGGGAGTCCTCTTAGTTGTGCGGTTAACAGAATTGTTATAGGCAAACTCCATTTGTGGCAATACCAAATCCCTAATCTTCACATGATTCCCCACTAAACAATGAAGCAAATCACCCAAACTACGATTAACGACCTCAGTTTGACCATCAGTCTGGGGATGAGCCGTAGTAGAATAGACCAGTTTAGTTCCCATTTTCCTCCATAAAGTACGCCAAAAATGACCCATGAACGTGACATCTCGATATGATACTATTGTTGTAGAAACTCCATGTAGTCTCACAATATCCTTAAAGAATAAATCAGCCACATGTGAAGCATCCAAAGTACGAGAACATGGAAGAAAATGAGCCATTCTGGAAAATCTATCTACGACCACATAAATGGAATCACGACCTCGTGCTGTTTTCAGAAGTCCTAACACAAAATCCATGCTAGATGAACCCAAGGGGCGTCTGCAATAGGTAAAGTAGTGTAAAGGCCAGTATTTTCTGACTGTCCTTTGGCAAACTGACAGGTCTTACATCGCTTAACCATTCTCTAGACATCCCTAGACATCCTTGGCCAATAATATCGATGTGAAACCAGCGCCAAGGTCTTGTCCCTTCCAAATATGCCCTCGTAATACACCACCATGTAGTTCTCTGATAATCTGTTCTCGTAAAGACCCCTCAGGTATAATGAGCTGATTATCTTTGAACAAATAACCCTCATGAAGCACATATGGGGTTACTGTAGCTGGGTTAGTTCGCAGGTCCTTCAAAACCCCAAAGAAAAAAGGATCACTAGCATATTGGCTTTTAACTTCCTCATACCCAACAACTTGAATATGCAAGGCAGCTAGTAGA